TTTTTTATTTTTTTTTTTTGCCTTTTTAAGCAGCCCCATAAACTAAAACTTAAAATGTTGGCTATTTCATTGCCGACACGGAGAACACTATAACACTATACCATGACTCTAATTAGCGTATTTTTTGCTCTCGTGGGTGGGTGGCTGGCTTAGTGGGTCGGTGGTTGGGGAAGGTAGCTGAAGTGGATGACTGCATGGACAAACAAACAGACAGACGGACGGACGGATGGGTGGGCGGCCGGACAAAAATGCAATAATATGCAACGACCAAAGTTAAATACGCTTTTTACACCATTTATTCCATGCCACATTTATCAAAAAATAAACCTTTTACCTGGGCAAGGCTGAACATTACATTGCCTGGTTTCGTTTCGAGGTCCTTGGCAGTCAGCGCCATTGTTAATCGGCGGTGGATTGGTGCAGTTTCGAGATCGCATTTCAACACCACCCGCACAAGAAGCACTACAAGGTCCCCAGGGACCCCAGTTAGTGAAGTTACCATTGACTGTAAGAAATTAAAAAGATAGAAGGAGAAGAAAGCTTTTGAATGTGTCTTGAACATGTTTCAAGTGGAATAGCTCTATGCCCTTAGATTGTACACAGAAGCAACTAGATTCCAAAATGCGTCCCTCCTTTGATTCCCGCATTCCAATTGAACTCTCTAGATAGTATGTTGTCAAGAATGTATTTGGGAAAACGTTGTATTAGGCACTTAAGCTTGAAGAGTTTCCCTGTACGTTTAGTAGCCTGAGAATACGTAAAGAAAACACATCCCAAGAATTGATTACAAAAAAGTCTAAAACTCCCGTTTAGGAAAACGTATTCGGGCACATTCAACTAGGGAGTATTTTGCAACAGTATGAATATTACCTGTAAATTCTATACCAAACGTGTCACTTATGTTTCGCAGGAAAGATTCCAAAATCGTATTGAGCTCTTGTTTACGGAGGGTAAAAGACGTATTCATGGCGGTCCGTAGACGGATGAAGAACCTGACCTCCAGGGGACTGTTAACTTTGGGATATTCAGGAAGTATCACGACCTCCACATCCGGTCTTAAAGTCAAGGAAAATGAAAGCAATTAGTTATATTATTCAGCAGATTTTGTTTATTATTTACAGCAATATTTAAAGGTTAGTTAAGAGAACATTTTGAAAATTTAAGGTGGAGAGGAAACCCCTTTGGACATAATAAAAAGTGGGGGTGAAAGAACTCGTTCAGTTTTAATTTACAAGCACTTAAAATAAAAAGTAGAGGGTATCTTAGACAGGTTCAACTGTTAATTTGTTCTCTAGTGATTGGGAATTCATTTGATACCGTGGTATTATCTATGCATCGAAGCACAAGAGCGGTAGACGGTAACCAGTCACTTTAAATTCAAGAATACTGCAAATTTGTATCCTAGAATCTTTTCTTTGCACTTTGTGATAATGATAACAAGTAACGCTGCCGGTGAAACATCTATTAAAATGAATCTTTTAGTTTTGACACCTTTTACAGGTAATTATAAATGTACGCGGGCTCTCTCGTGTCCAGCATGTACATTGTGAAAATGCATACAGAAAATTGAGAGTTCAAATAAAAAAAATGTTTGCTCTAACTTACTCCACAGGACATGATCCTGTTGTGTTGCAGAATTTTGCAGTACTTGTGGCAAATGCCTCTGTAAAGTTTTCCTCTATGGCACACCACTGAAAAAATGAGACGATGGTTCTTATTTATCGGATAAAGAATTGTTGCAGTTACGCTTGTGATGCCTTATGATACTTAACAATCGTAACCAACTATTTGCGAAAGAAAGTTAGGCATTTCGCAACAATATGTTGGGAATTGTGATTTTAAAAATATCTTTACTTTAAACAGCCTTCATTCTCAAATAAAATCCTTGGGTTCTTGACAAAAGATCTGAAAACATCCCTCAAAAGATACCAGACCTTTTTTAACCCACAAGAGGTACGGTCGAGGTACATGTGCTAAATCTTTTATTTGGAAAATATATCAGACGGGGCTGATCAGGAACCAAATACCTGACAAAGGTCATTCCTTGCTAAGTCATTCTTGTAAATTTATGGCTAACAATTCAAATGTACGTAGGTACACAAGAATATGTAAATAGAAATATGTGGTAGACTTTCTAAAAGCCCTTTCCGGAAAAACTCGAAGATGATCAGGCAAAGGATTAAGCGAAGATCAGTTTGAGGCAATTCCAAATAAACTATGAAACACTCTTTTTAATTTCTTAATTAAACAATGCAATAGAGATAAAAGTTACGACTTTTGAAAGAAACAAACCTCTGGAATAGTAATATTCAGAATGACCAGTGAAACTGAATTTGTAATCTCCTCTTGAGAAGCAGGTTGTCGATTTGACAAACAAAATGGTGGCGTTGTAGGTGGAACTACAGTAGTATCTGGCGGACCTGTTGTAATATCTGGCTGACCCGTCGTGTTGACTGGTTGGCCTGTTGTGATATCTGGTTGACCCGTTGTGATATCTGGTTGACCTGTTGTGATATCTGGTTGACCCGTTGTGATATCTGGTTGGCCTGTTGTGATATCTGGTTGGCCTGTTGAGATATCTGGTTGACCTGTTGTGATATCTGGTTGACCTACTGTAGTGTTCGGTGGACCTGTAGTGGTGTCTGGCGGACCTGTTGTAGTGTTCGGCAGACTTACTGTGGTGTCTGGTGGACCTGTTGTGATGTCTGATGGGCCGGTTGTAACGTCTGGTGGACCTGTTGTGATGTCTGCCGGACCTGTTGTAGCGTTCAGCAGACTTACTGTGGTGTCTGGCGGACCTGTTGTGATGTCTGATGGGCCGGTTGTAACGTCTGGTGGACCTGTTGTGATGTCTGCCGGACCTGTTGTAGTGTTCAGCAGACTTACTGTGGTGTCTGGTGGACCTGTTGTGATGTCTGCCGGACCTGTTGTAGTGTTCAGCAGACTTACTGTGGTGTCTGGCGGACCTGTTGTGATGTCTGATGGGCCGGTTGTAACGTCTGGTGGACCTGTTGTGATGTCTGCCGGACCTGTTGTAGTGTTCAGCAGACTTACTGTGGTGTCTGGTGGACCTGTTGTGATGTCTGCCGGACCTGTTGTAGTGTTCAGCAGACTTACTGTGGTGTCTGGCGGACCTGTTGTGATGTCTGATGGGCCGGTTGTAACGTCTGGTGGACCTGTTGTGATGTCTGCCGGACCTGTTGTAGTGTTCAGCAGACTTACTGTGGTGTCTGGTGGACCTGTTGTGATGTCTGCCGGACCTGTTGTAGTGTTCAGCAGACTTACTGTGGTGTCTGGCGGACCTGTTGTGATGTCTGATGGGCCGGTTGTAACGTCTGGTGGACCTGTTGTGATGTCTGCCGGACCTGTTGTAGTGTTCAGCAGACTTACTGTGGTGTCTGGTGGACCTGTTGTGATGTCTGCCGGACCTGTTGTAGTGTTCAGCAGACTTACTGTGGTGTCTGGCGGACCTGTTGTGATGTCTGATGGGCCGGTTGTAACGTCTGGTGGACCTGTTGTGATGTCTGCCGGACCTGTTGTAGTGTTCAGCAGACTTACTGTGGTGTCTGGTGGACCTGTTGTGATGTCTGCCGGACCTGTTGTAGTGTTCAGCAGACTTACTGTGGTGTCTGGCGGACCTGTTGTGATGTCTGATGGGCCGGTTGTAACGTCTGGTGGACCTGTTGTGATGTCTGCCGGACCTGTTGTAGTGTTCAGCAGACTTACTGTGGTGTCTGGTGGACCTGTTGTGATGTCTGCCGGACCTGTTGTAGTGTTCAGCAGACTTACTGTGGTGTCTGGCGGACCTGTTGTGATGTCTGATGGGCCGGTTGTAACGTCTGGTGGACCTGTTGTGATGTCTGCCGGACCTGTTGTAGTGTTCAGCAGACTTACTGTGGTGTCTGGTGGACCTGTTGTGATGTCTGCCGGACCTGTTGTAGTGTTCAGCAGACTTACTGTGGTGTCTGGCGGACCTGTTGTGATGTCTGATGGGCCGGTTGTAACGTCTGGTGGACCTGTTGTGATGTCTGCCGGACCTGTTGTAGTGTTCAGCAGACTTACTGTGGTGTCTGGTGGACCTGTTGTGATGTCTGCCGGACCTGTTGTAGTGTTCAGCAGACTTACTGTGGTGTCTGGCGGACCTGTTGTGATGTCTGATGGGCCGGTTGTAACGTCTGGTGGACCTGTTGTGATGTCTGCCGGACCTGTTGTAGTGTTCAGCAGACTTACTGTGGTGTCTGGTGGACCTGTTGTGATGTCTGCCGGACCTGTTGTAGTGTTCAGCAGACTTACTGTGGTGTCTGGCGGACCTGTTGTGATGTCTGATGGGCCGGTTGTAACGTCTGGTGGACCTGTTGTGATGTCTGCCGGACCTGTTGTAGTGTTCAGCAGACTTACTGTGGTGTCTGGTGGACCTGTTGTGATGTCTGCCGGACCTGTTGTAGTGTTCAGCAGACTTACTGTGGTGTCTGGCGGACCTGTTGTGATGTCTGATGGGCCGGTTGTAACGTCTGGTGGACCTGTTGTGATGTCTGCCGGACCTGTTGTAGTGTTCAGCAGACTTACTGTGGTGTCTGGTGGACCTGTTGTGATGTCTGCCGGACCTGTTGTAGTGTTCAGCAGACTTACTGTGGTGTCTGGCGGACCTGTTGTGATGTCTGATGGGCCGGTTGTAACGTCTGGTGGACCTGTTGTGATGTCTGCCGGACCTGTTGTAGTGTTCAGCAGACTTACTGTGGTGTCTGGTGGACCTGTTGTGATGTCTGCCGGACCTGTTGTAGTGTTCAGCAGACTTACTGTGGTGTCTGGCGGACCTGTTGTGATGTCTGATGGGCCGGTTGTAACGTCTGGTGGACCTGTTGTGATGTCTGCCGGACCTGTTGTAGTGTTCAGCAGACTTACTGTGGTGTCTGGTGGACCTGTTGTGATGTCTGCCGGACCTGTTGTAGTGTTCAGCAGACTTACTGTGGTGTCTGGCGGACCTGTTGTGATGTCTGATGGGCCGGTTGTAACGTCTGGTGGACCTGTTGTGATGTCTGCCGGACCTGTTGTAGTGTTCAGCAGACTTACTGTGGTGTCTGGTGGACCTGTTGTGATGTCTGCCGGACCTGTTGTAGTGTTCAGCAGACTTACTGTGGTGTCTGGCGGACCTGTTGTGATGTCTGATGGGCCGGTTGTAACGTCTGGTGGACCTGTTGTGATGTCTGCCGGACCTGTTGTAGTGTTCAGCAGACTTACTGTGGTGTCTGGTGGACCTGTTGTGATGTCTGCCGGACCTGTTGTAGTGTTCAGCAGACTTACTGTGGTGTCTGGCGGACCTGTTGTGATGTCTGATGGGCCGGTTGTAACGTCTGGTGGACCTGTTGTGATGTCTGCCGGACCTGTTGTAGTGTTCAGCAGACTTACTGTGGTGTCTGGTGGACCTGTTGTGATGTCTGCCGGACCTGTTGTAGTGTTCAGCAGACTTACTGTGGTGTCTGGCGGACCTGTTGTGATGTCTGATGGGCCGGTTGTAACGTCTGGTGGACCTGTTGTGATGTCTGCCGGACCTGTTGTAGTGTTCAGCAGACTTACTGTGGTGTCTGGTGGACCTGTTGTGATGTCTGCCGGACCTGTTGTAGTGTTCAGCAGACTTACTGTGGTGTCTGGCGGACCTGTTGTGATGTCTGATGGGCCGGTTGTAACGTCTGGTGGACCTGTTGTGATGTCTGCCGGACCTGTTGTAGTGTTCAGCAGACTTACTGTGGTGTCTGGTGGACCTGTTGTGATGTCTGCCGGACCTGTTGTAGTGTTCAGCAGACTTACTGTGGTGTCTGGCGGACCTGTTGTGATGTCTGATGGGCCGGTTGTAACGTCTGGTGGACCTGTTGTGATGTCTGCCGGACCTGTTGTAGTGTTCAGCAGACTTACTGTGGTGTCTGGTGGACCTGTTGTGATGTCTGCCGGACCTGTTGTAGTGTTCAGCAGACTTACTGTGGTGTCTGGCGGACCTGTTGTGATGTCTGATGGGCCGGTTGTAACGTCTGGTGGACCTGTTGTGATGTCTGCCGGACCTGTTGTAGTGTTCAGCAGACTTACTGTGGTGTCTGGTGGACCTGTTGTGATGTCTGCCGGACCTGTTGTAGTGTTCAGCAGACTTACTGTGGTGTCTGGCGGACCTGTTGTGATGTCTGATGGGCCGGTTGTAACGTCTGGTGGACCTGTTGTGATGTCTGCCGGACCTGTTGTAGTGTTCAGCAGACTTACTGTGGTGTCTAGCGGACCTGTTGTGATGTCTGATGGGCCGGTTGTAACGTCTGGTGGACCTGTTGTGATGTCTGGCGGACCTGTTGTGGTGTCTGGTGGGTTCGCTGTGGACGGCGGGCCTACAAATAAGATAAAGCCTAATTAAACATGTCGATGAATATCGTTTTCAATTTCTTCTGCAGTGCAGACTGGATCTGCAAATACACTGGTAGTCGTTGCTTTGTAACTGTATACACTCTTTCACGTGTACCTTCAAGAGACAGCAGACATATTACAAGTTGTAAACGAGTCACCATACGGATTCGAGTAGGTGTACATGACAAAATAAAAGAAAAACTAGCTACAACTGATACATGTACTGAAAAGCGAGACTAGAATTACAATTAGGTGATCGAGTCTGGCCTTCGAGTCTGGCGGCTCCCTAGGAATAAAAACAATAACATTACAATTATATTTAAGTTGACGTACGTTAAAATGGCATCGAGATAAAACTGAAGAAGAATCTACTTAGATTGTAAATAGGAAATGGGATCCAAAAAACGGCGTGTTTTTCACACAAACATACACAGACACAAAAATTCAATCAGTTATAAATGATGATCCCTTGATTGACACAAATATGTTTGTATACAAACTTGTTGGCAGAGGTCGAGGAACGTTTCTGTCGAAACGTCCATCCACATTCCCTCTTGATTTGTATCGTGCCACAATATAGTGACTTCCACCTCCAGAAGCCACTCCCACTCCGAGCTCCGTGGAACTTCTCCAAATCACCTGTGTAAAATTTAGCCACGGTCGGCTTGAATTTATTGCTGTCCCGGTATCAAAATCGTAGTTCGATATCTCGTTGTACCAAATGGTCACCATGTCACTGCAGCGCACGCATGAAGTTTCTGATGCATTGCTACATATTGGTTGTGCTGGTGAGAAGGACAAAAGGCCAAGATTTTCTCCCAGGTTTTGGTTGTTTAAGACGTTGACTTCGTTTTCTAAAGTTTGGTTCTGTAGAAGAAATTGCGCCCAAGATCGCGCCCCATCGGCAATTCCGTTGTTCCAGGTCAAGGGTCCAACTCCGCCATGCAATGATCTTAAGTTATTGTGTGAATCCAGACAATCTTGTTCAAAGAAAGACAGGCCTGCTGGGAGGAGAATTTACCATGCACAATGTTAACATGTTTTTATCAAATTGGTCTACATGATTAAATTCTTAAATAGACAAAGCGGATTTATCGAGTGGGAGGTTAATGCACCAAATTTCAAAAGCTTTCTGTGATTGATAGTTCACTTTACCAAGTACCCAAAGTTTCAAAGAAATATCTTTATTTTCCAATCTTTATTTTAATCATTATTTTCCTTCCTCGATTTACATTTTTACAGTTATCGTCAAACAATCCCACTTTGAACACGGGCTGCAGCCGTTCAATTTGTGTTTGTCCTACTGAATATTTTGCTTATGTAAAAGCTTTAAACGATATATGGTTTTCTTTTATTGGTCTATTTTAAAGTTGAATGAAACCTCTACAAATGAAAAGTTAAAACTTTTCATTGGTGGTACTGATCAGCATCTGATATCTCCTCGCTGTATCATTATCGTGTTACAGTACAAGCCAATAAAAATCATCACATCATTGAAATGCTACGGAAATGAGTAAATTCGTCGTAATGCGGGGTGTTGGCAAAATTGTCCTCTGGAAGTGCCTGCAGTCTCCGTAATGTTAATAGCAGGGTAGTGACGGATCGAAAAGGGTGACGTGTATCAAATCGAGTTGAGACTCCCTGATCTCGATGAAGTATTCAGCCTGCTATTCACTACGACGGACATTAGCACAAACATGAGCATAACGGTATCGCGGTAGCGAAAAGGCCCACAACACAAGCATAAGCACAAGCACACAGTAGTGAGGGCCACTTATCAGATACGATACGGATGATAAAAAGACCTTTTTTAGTCTTCATGCCATATATTATATATTTCAACTTTGTTATTACCTGATATAAAGCTTTGTGTATTTTTAATTTGTAATTTTCGTGTTAGCTTAAAACATTCTGTAACTAGAACGGTTTCTAGCAATCTATTTGTCTGTTTATCTATCTTCCTATCTACATCTACCCCGCCTGTCTAATCTGCCTGTCTATCTGACGTAATCGTTATGCAATTCAAAAATCAAATTTAGGGGTGTGCTGTAGATTCGAAAAGTTCGTTTGCCAAATATTTATCCGTTAAGGTCGGTAAGAACTCGCGTGGCACAAAACAAGTTAGTATAATTCTACTAGTATACTAATGCAAATGCTGCAATCTGATTCGCTTTCGATTTCTATGAGACGATAGTTGATTCGGCCTTCGGCCCCATCAACTATCACCTCATAGAAATCTCGAGCTCATAATCTAACAGTTAATTGTTATGATAACTTGTACCTAGAACGCCTACTGTTGCACGTTGCAAAGCAGTAACAAATAGCTGTTTTAATTACTATCCGATATGGCCGCTGCAGTACCTGACATATTCATTGATTTACCTGGTATAGGTGTTGTAGATGGAAGATCTGGTGTTGTAAATGGAAGACCTGTCGCTGTGGATGGAAGACCTGTTGTTATAGCTGGAGGAACCGTTGTTGTAGACGGTGGGTCTGTAGCAAAAAAACAATATAATTAGTAACAATTTAACAATTTAATGAAATTACATCTCAACTTATGGTTGCTGCCTTGAAATTTATTAAGCCTTAAAAAAAAGTTATCCCCACACCAAATCCACAAGATACAACTGTATACATAACGTGAGGAGAAGCTGACGGACCTGTCGTAATGTCTGACGGACCTGTTGTGATGTCTGGTGGACCTGTTGTGATGTCTGGTGCACCTGTTGTGAAGTCTGATGGACCTGTTGTGATGTCTGGTGGACCTGTTGTGATGTCTGGTGCACCTGTTGTGAAGTCTGATGGACCTGTTGTGATGTCTGGCGGACCTGTTGTGATGTCTGGTGCACCTGTTGTGAAGTCTGATGGACCTGTTGTGATGTCTGGCGGACCTGTTGTGATGTCTGGTGGACCTGTTGTGATATCTGGCGGACCTGTTGTGATACCTGACGGACCTGTTGTGATGTCTGGCGGACCTGTTGCGATGTCTGGTGGATCTCTTGTGATGTCTTGTGGGCCTGTTGTCATGTCTGGCGGACCCGTTGTCATGTCTGGCGGACCTGTTGTGATATCTGGCGGACCTGCTGTGAGGTCTTGTGGGCCTGTTGTGATGTCTGGCGGACTTGTTATGATGTCTGGCGGACCTGTTGTGATGTCTGGCGGACCTGTTGTGATGTCTGGCGGGCCTGTTTTGATGTCTGACCGACCTGTCGTGGTGTCTGGCGGACCTGTTGTAGAATCTGGAAGACCTGGTGTCGTATCTGGTGGACTCGATGTAGTGTCTTGTGGACTTACGGTAGTCTCTGGTGGACCCGTTGTAATGTCTAGTGGACTAGTTATTCTGTCTGGTGGACCTGCTGTAGTGTTTGGCAGTCCCGTTGTGATATCTGGCGGACCTGTTGTAATGTCTGTTGGACCTGTTATTGTTTCCGGTGGACTTGTCGTAGTGTCTGATGGAAGGAAGGTATGAATCCTTGGCGAAACGTACATCATTACAACACAATCACATATATTCCATATCTATGTTATATATTTTGTTTTCAGCAAGCAAGCTCGAGTGCATATCTAGTTGTTTTTTATGTAGCTCGATCCAATCCTCGTAAATGTTTCCAATTTGCAAGAAATTTTGTTTACAAACCTGTTGGCAGGACGCGTGGTACATTTCTGGCAAACCTTCCTGCCAAATTCCCTCGTGGCTTGTAACGAGCCACAACATAGTGATATCCGCCTCCAGAGGCCACACCCACACCTAGCTCAGTAGAACTTCGCCAAACCACCTGAGTAAAATTCAGCCATTGTTTATTTGGATCGATTGGCGATCCCGTATCAAAATTGTAGTTTGAAACCTCGTTGTACCATGTTGAAACTACTTGGCTGCACCGCACGCATGAAGTTTCAGATGCATTGCTACATATTGGCTGTGCTGGCGAGGAGAACACAAAACCAAGATTTTCTCCGAGATCTAACAGGCCCTCCTCATGTAGTAACGACTTGTTTTGCAGGAGAAATTGAGACCAGTTTCGTGCCCCTTCGGCAATTTGTTCATTCCAGGTCATGGCTTGAAATGCCGAGTGCAGTGCTCGAAAGTTGTTGTGTGAGTCCAGACAGTCTTGTTCAAAGAAAGTCAGGCCTGCCGGTCAGAGCATTCAGAAAATTGTGTTAATAAAACAGCTCTCTTGAGGGACAATCACCACCAGGTAAATGATAAAACAAAAAAGCTTATTCAACAAAATGGAAGACAATGGATAGATATACACATATATACATATTGGGTAGATATGCCGGCACATAGTTAATAAAGGGAAATAGTTAGGAAGACCGGTAAACATCAAAGAAGCAAACAAGGAAGAGCCTTGACCCTGCACATCTTTTGTTTTATGCTCATAGACTGTACAGGAATTACATAATCGCAATGCTTCCATTGGCTAGTTGCAGGAGCACATAACCAACCACCTTTTGTATTTTGCTAGGTTTTGTGCAGGTTCAACCCCCAAAATAGCCAACAAAAACATACAACCAAGAACTTTGCCAGGTTTCCTAACCATTTCCCTCCACTGACTTCTCAAAGGCGATATTTATGTCTGTTGACTCGTATAATGAAATGAAGCAATATTACACATTGTTCATGTTTGATTTTCTGTGGTTTTGTTGGCGATTTGGAGCTGTGAAGAATTGTTAAAAGGTTTGCTTCAGTTTGAAGATAACCTACGGGTAGGTACGACTACGCGTACGCTATTTGAAGAGAGCGCCACTAATGTAGAACCCAAATCTCCCACGGCCAAAAGAGTGAGATCGGAAAAAATAGCCTGTAAAAATTACACATTTCACCGATTTCGTCTGGAAACAAGGGAAACACTGTTTGTAATAGAAAATTTCTGCGGGATTTCTTTGATTTTTCATTGCTGAATAAACTGAGTAATGCAGTATTCAATGACCCCGTAGGACAAGTCAAAGACAAATGAGCAGTAATCAAAATGATGCCGAGATACTAGACAATCAAATGCCTAAAAAAGAGAGATTTATTATCCAAGGGTTTTTATTCAATTCCTGAAAACTCAATACCAGGTCTACAGAAAACTTTTTCAACTGGTTTCACTGGTTTCCTATTCGTGATAGACTACAAATACTCGTTTCGTGTATTATCAATACCCCGTAGGAAAAAAGATGGCGGCTGTCTATTTTACCACAATACCTTGCGAACCTAACAAAACCCATGAGAAACAGGGAAAGCCATATTCTTGCCATATTATATTTGTCTTTGTACCAACGATATTGTGTACGCTAGGTTATAAGAATTTTGAAGAAATTTTCTGTACGTTTTTATATAAGTAAAGGTACCAACCGCCATCTCTTTCCTATTAAAGATTGTAATCTAGTAATTGCAGTTGGTAGCACGCTAATCAAGAAACGTTTGATAGCATATTTTACTAAGAAATAGCAGGAAAAAAAAATATTATGAGACGTTTTGAAACAATTTACATTAAAAATGATATAGCTTCGTCGGTTCCGAGACTGGAAACTCCAAATGATGAATTACATGGGTGCTCGGTAGACTGCCTGGGAAATTCCTAATATGTTAAACTAAATAGTAATTCATGAATTGTCGATCGCTTTATGTTATAGCCATTAATATTGTTACTAAATAATGCGGAGTAAAGATAAGAATTTTAAGAGAGGCAGATAAAAAATGATATATAACCTGTAAGAAGTGCACAATTAGCTGAAAAAACTTCCTTGATGCGAGAAAAGGTTATTAAGATTTTGCTGTTGATTAAAAAGGATTCTGGTTGAATACGTGTGGATTGTAGACGGTATTCTGTATATTAGAAACCAATATAATTAAAAATCATTCGTACAAAAAAAACCACTTTATTTTAGTTCAAGTCTAATCAGCAACTGATACCCCAAAACAGGACAAAATATTACATTAGAGAAGAAGACTATGATCAAGAATTTCAAAACAGATTTCAGGGCAGAGCAACTCGAGTGATCTCAAATACTCAGTCATTAATAAAAACACTCGTAGAGGTTTTTGAAGTCGAGAAAAGCGGAAACAATATAACGGAAAGAGTTATGCATCAATATGCGGAGAACATTTTTTGAAACGCAAATTCATAGCGTGTTTTATCCAGTATGTAAACTTGAATCGAAAATCTTAAATCGTCATTATCCTTCACTTAAGATGGTGGAATGGGGACGGTGTTACTCTATTTTATTTGTTCATTACAGGATGATAAGAAATTGCTCCGTGCGAGAGAAAAAACGTGGGAAAACAAAAATACGCATCGATGCGCAAAAAAAAAATAACTAATCGATCCTCTCAGCTTAATTTTTAATTGCGGTTGTAAATGATGTATCACACGAAGAAGTCAATTAAACAGATCATCAGCGTTTTGTAGCTGAAATGTTTATCTCAGTCATAAAGGGAAAAATCAATACCCACTGAAAAAACTTGAGACTTCTCAGAGGTCGTTGACAAAATATCACTGACGACGAAAACGAGTGGGTTCGATTGAGTTTTAAAAAATTTCTTGCCACGAGGACTTTCAGTAGAAAGCAGTTGAAGATGACTTCCGAATTACAAGTTGGAGAACGAGGAGAATTTTATAATTATCTTGAAGTGCAATGTTCTCCATTATTCTAAGACAAACATTCCGTTATTGAGTCACGGAATTTCAAGTCTGTTTTTAGGTAAGCGGGTACTAACACCTTAACATTCACCAACAAAAATCGAAATTTAATCGTTTTTTACTCACCTTGTGCGAATGACGTCCGGCACAATAATGAAAGCAGGAGTATAACAACAAGCAACACATTTAACGGCATGGTGAAACTTCCCGGACTTGAAGAACGGTAAAACATCCTGCCGTGTTGTTTTTGCACTCCACTCACACTAATAAGCTTGGGCCTCTATATTGAAAAACTGAGGTCTCGATCTCAAGCTGGAAAAATATTTGCCTCTGGAATATCAAAACTCGACTTTTGAAAGTACCTAAAAGGAAATAGTAAAGGTTGTTGTAAATACTTAAATGATATAGCTTCCTGAAGTACACAGAGAATTGGGGTTCCTCTACAAGGATTTCAACAAAACACCCTTCAGTTTATCTACAAATTTAACAAATTTGACATATCGTTTGGGGGTTGCCATGGCAATTAGAGTATTGACTCTTGAGGTGCTTATCAGCCCCTTATATAGGCTACGAAAGATATTATTGTTACAATTTGCTTTTTAGTTTTCGCCATTTCCTCGCAAGTTTTTGCTGTGTTACGTTCTTATGTTGCATTGTTTTTCAGCGTTACACGAATTTCCTTTACTCTTCGAAGATACACTTTACAAGTCTGCAGACTTTTCAAAAATTCTATGCCGGTGTACAAAATCATGTTTCCCTGTGCTAGTAAATATACCAACACGTATTTTTAAGTTTGTATTGGAAGCACATATAGATCACTGACAGAAGAAAGTACCATGTCTACTGTAGCAGTTATTTCAGTAGGGTAAATTTGAACGAATTATAACAATAGCACGTTTCTTCAACAACTGCCTGTACGGAAAACTATATAGAAACAGATCGAAAATAGTTGTTGCGTTTATTTGAAAAACAATAGTCAAGGATACAAATAAAAAAAGCATTTAGAGCAAACAATTATTGGAGCTTGTATTGGCGTTTAACTGTAATTAGAGATGGAAGTTCTTTGATATAGATTTATCGGCGCTTTACGCCAAAACCGCAAATCGTTGGAAGATTGTTGTTGTCTAGAACGGTGGGCGTCACTTTTGGCCGCGTTCCATTCCAAAGCGCCCAACAGAAATCACACAAAAAAGTATTAACTTCATAAAAACGAGACAGATATTTGGCAAGAATTCGCTCAAACATGAATTCAATTTGATGGATCATTTTATCTTTATCGGGTTGATCTCTTAAAGCTGTCTAACACTGCTAGTTTAGTCGGGCACTGCTTGTTACGTAACGTTTGTCTTTTTTCTTCGTAATTTGGAAGTCTTACGATTTATGCAAAATTGGAACAATGGAGGCTAACTGTCCTTATAACAAGTATTTCGAGTTTATCTAGCTTGTTGAATGGACACCGCTTGATTCAACACACGATGTTACAGCGAAAGTGCGAAACATATGGCAACTCAAAGTCCCCATTAGCAAGACAAGTAAGATGGGCAAAACAAATTAAGACCGAAAGCCTAATAGAGAAGCTTATGAAAAAGATATTGTGTGCTGCTTTGAAAACATGCTCCTGTCAGTTTCTAAGCTGTTTTACAGCTGCAAAAAGGGTCTGGTGACTTAGATTTTGAAAATTCTTGAAACTGTTCCTTCAACAGTCCTTCTTTACTGGAAGATAAACATGGCAAAGGAGAACCTCACAGATTTTGTATTATTGGAATCGCGAATGGACGTGCTCTTTATATTGGCAAGACCAAGAACAACGACCACGTTTGGATTTACCTTTCAAGGGGGCGGGGGTCATCTTGAACTACAATATCGTTTTAAAGGCACTTGAACAACTCCAAAACTGTTTGGCTAGCAGTTATTTATACCTCGAGTTGGACAGCGTTAGAGGTACTAGTGCCAAGCGCACTCGGCTAGAATTGCTTAAACAGAGAGGAAACTAAGTATAAAACCATGGGGTGGGTTCTTCCTACACACTCTTTTTTAATGTATACGAATATTGTTTATCCAGCCCAGGCTGAATATTCTTATTTGACTGCCGATTTTAGGCTGAAAATATTCTTGTGAATATTCTTAGATAATGGTGTATGACACTTCCGTTTTACTGATTTTGATGGCGTTGAAGTAATAATTTTGGAGCCATACTGCATGCAGGCAATAAAACCTGATATGATACACAAAGATAAAACGAGGGGATACACATAATTTCTTGACGAAATATATGTTATTAACATCACACATACGGCTAGTGCTGTTTTTGTGTTTTTTTTGACTAGTTTTGCCATTTAGAGAAAGGAAGAATTTACACGATTTAGTTAAAAACATGTAACTGTATTGTATCTAAAAATTTTCTAAACACAAAATTATAATCTTTTCAAAATCTCACAACCTCGGGTTATTCTAAAAATATTCTTAACATTTCGCAACTTTCAGCCTCAATATTCTTATAAATTATATCCTTATAGAAAAAAAAAAAGATGTATTGGACTCACCAGGAGGCTCCACCCAAAAAGAGTACCTTTTTTAGTCTTTAAGGTGTGTAAAGGGTAGGCATTTCATGAAATGAAATGTAGGAAATGCAAAGCTCTCTTCAAAAATATCCGTCAAGCACCGTGACTTAATGGACAAGTCGATCAGTATAAATAAGTATTCAAATTTTTAAGGGGTTACTCGTTTCAATTTAAGGTTATAAAAAAGGCATTTAGTGTGCCTACTGTAGGTGTGTGAAAGCGATGCCATTTTTATGGAAGGTATATAAGATGGCCTCATGGTCAGTGCACTCGTCCCCGGATCGAGCGGTCAGGGTTCGAACCCTGGCCGGGACACTATGCTGTGTTTTTGGGCAAGACACTTAACTCTCACAGTGCCTCTCTCCAGGAGTATAAATGGGTACCAGCGAATTGTTGGGGAAACCTAACAAATTGCGGTGGAGTGACCTGCGATGGACTAGCATCCCGTCCGGGGAGAGTAGAAATACTCCTAGCCGCTTCATGCTACAGAAACCGGGATAAGCTCCGGCAGCTATGAGCCAGTCGGCCCCAAGGCTTCACTTTATAGAAAAGGTTACTGCTTCTGTCAAAAATGGTATTTAAAAGGGTAAGGATTTGGACTTCAGAGTAGAGCTTCCAGTGTAAAACACTGTTTGACACATCATCCCCCCAACACCCCCTACACCCGCCCGAACAAACTAAGCAGTCTGGCAAACCAACATAACTGGGAAACAAGAATTGAAGGT